AATAGATAAAATTATTTCACTTGAAGAAATGATAATGAAAGATAAAATAACTCTACTAGAAGAAAAGTCTAGAAAAATACAAGAGAAAATGAAGAGAATAGATGAAGAAACTAACAGAATAGGAGAAGAATTCAAATGTAAGAAAGAAGAATGGGACTTATACCGAAGTGGATATAAAGAAAAAGAGATAGAGAAACAAGGATATGGACAGAGATTATTACATTTAAAGGAAAGGATAAAATTGGAAGAATTGATTCAACTAGAAGAATGGACAAATAGAAAAGTATCTAATATACTATTTGATTCAGATATTGATGATTGGAATCAGCATACATCAGTATTTGGAGAAAGAATAATAAATAAAGAACATATAATAATTATTATTGAAGATACAGAGGGAAATAAATTTGGAGGATATATTAATGCTAAAATTGATAAAGTTGATGATTGGATAAATGATTCAAAATCATTTTTATTTTCAATAGAGTCAAAAGGAAGAATACAAGGAATGATGAAATTTGATATTAATGAACCAGAATATGCATTTTGGATTCCAAAAAAGAATGAGACATTTGGGTATTTATTTACATTTGGTCATATTGATCTTGACGTTTATAATAAATCAAGGAAGTCTATTTCGAATTGTCATCAAAATTCATTCAATTACAAGGGTATTAAAAATGCTTTACGAGGAAAAGATGGATATTTTTGTCCAAAACGAATTATTGTAATTGAAATGAAATAGCTAAAAACTTTAATATTATTATAAAAAAAATATTAATTATTTATTCTGACTTTATAGAATTTGTTTTGTATGAGTTTAAAATTAATGATATTGTTAATAAATTTGTTAAGTGTTCTGAGGTAGTTGGATAATTTCCAGTTTCTGTAATATAAATAAATTATTTAATAGTGAAACTAATAACGGGATTATAACAAACTTTCTTGTTTATGTTTTATTTCATCAATCATTTCTTTTATCTTCTTAACAAAAATATCAATTTGAGAAAGATCTTTTCCAATCGTTGTGTTCCACTCATTAAACTCTCTAATAAAATTATTAACTTCT